TTGGAGCTGGCTCTGACCTGACACAGGGCAATGCTGAGAGGGGCAGTGCAAAGAGGTCATCCCTACAGCTTTCCTGATACCAAAACATTCCCACGCAAGCCCAATACAAGCATCATGTCTCTTAGCTGTTCTAAAAAACTCACTCCTTCCTTAGCTATGAAAGGTACAGTGTACTCCTCTTTGTAATACTGAAGTCACTCTACATAATGCAAAACTAATACAAATCTAATACTTTCAAACGCTGAAAATTTGGAAAAATGCAGCTATAATCACTGCTGAGTATCAAACAAGACACAGTAGTTCTCATTCATGGTGCAGAAACACCACTGAGGAAGTGCACTCTTGAAAACTACTTACTATGTAGGCCTTATAAAGGGCACTTTGAACATTATTTTCAGCATTAAATTATGTAAGACTGAAGGAACTTGTAGTCTTTGAAAATATGAAAGGACATCAGATAAGCAAATCAGAAAAGCATTTGTAGTTTACATCCCTTAATAATTTAAAGAAATACAAATTAATTGGGTACATTTTCTAATTACCTAAGAATTAAAACAAAGTTAGGCATATAGGCATACAAAACTTCATGTAATTAGGGTCCTGATCCTTCACAAGCAATTAAGTTTTCCTTTTCTTCAAGGAATGCAAATTTCTTTCACTTTAGCTTCACTTAGACAGCAGCAGTGAGGTGCAAGCTGTGCAAGCTGTACAGATAAGTTCTGCTGCAATACAAGCCACCAGTCATCAATTCTCTGGTGCTCCACAGAATCACAGAATCACCCGGGTTGGAAGGGACCCCAAGGATCATGTAGTTCCAACCCCCCTGCCTAGCAGGGCCACCAAACATACACATTCAGATCAGGTTGCCCAGGACCCCGTCCAACCTGGCCTTAAACACGTCCAAGGACGGGGCTCCAGCATCAGATCTTCAGCTCATCCTTCCTTCCAAACAAGACAGAAGATTAATTTGTTCTCACATGAGTCAGATTAACTGCAATATCCAAATTATCACTGGAACTAGCTCTGTTGTGAAGTTAAGCTCTAATGTATACTTAGCTTCAGTGACTAAACTAATCCTGTGACCTCAGTGGGAGCAACTCAGGCATCTAATGCCATTTTTAGATGTCTTAGAGAATCTCAGACATCTGTATAAGAAGGGTAGTCATGACAGAACTGCAGAAGACTTTGAGGAGCAGTAACCATTGTTTTTTGAGGAGGTTAACCATTGTTTGGATAATGCAGAGAAAGGCAACAGCAGATATAGCTGCTTTAAATTACCTAAGAATGGTAAACAAGCCAGTAAATAAAGAATTGCTTAATCCTTTCCAGGGATCCTGGCTCATCAAATACTCCAAAGGAGAGGATTTCCAAGTAGAGATGCTTCTCTTGTAGCTGCCAGCCCTTAAATGAAGTTAGGGAGCCAGGCTCCACCCTTCCATTCACACAGGTGAATTGCTTGCACCTGTGCTCCCAGGGCTGACTACACCCCTTCACAAGGTGTTCAATCACTGGTTCAGGCTGTGACCTCACAGTTCCAATACAGATACCTAATCCAAAGAAACTGCTTCCAAAACTACATAATTTTGAAGGTTTCCACGCTTGCAGGCTTCCAGACCATAACTGAACAAGACAAGCAGTATTCTGTTCAGTCTCCATATGTATCACTTAGTTGTTTTTAGCAGGAGGCCACCATTTATATTTAAACACAAATACATCTTACTTTTCAGTCTTACCTTAATTTAGTATCAAATACCTGCATCTGCTCAGAGCTCTCAGCACAGCAGGGGAAGTGACCCAATCAGATGACCCATTACTTTCAGGGGACCTGATCCTGACCTAAACTTGACTTCCTACCTTGGTCTCAGCAGGGCCTTGACTCCAGACCGAACACAAGAACTGTCACTGGACCCATTTTGCTCATGCTGTCTGTGGATTCCACCATTTGTCAGTGAGAATGTTACCAAACCGGAGTTCATGCACTCAAGACAGGAGAAGTACTTCACAGAGAAGGAAATAGAACAGCTTTCATTATTAGCTCATTTTTATGATGCTTCAAGTCACACTGTGTATGTATTTACAGCGCTGCTACATCAAATTATAGAGAGATGATCACACCTTCACTTGCATGGTACATAAGAGCATTTTCTTCTGCACAATTCTAATGTGATCACAAGCTTTCTAATGCCAGAATGCTATCTGTATTTTTGTTTCATCACTCCTTGTATTTCTAAATGAAAGATCTCCTATTTTGGTTGGTATACATCAAGGGAAAAACTACTTGTACAGAAATACTCGGATATCAAAAACATAACATCCTTTGGATTCGGTTTGAGGACTTTTGTTTTTTAACGTGTTACCCTTTTTCAAAAAGAAATGTTAGGTGTTCACATATATGTATCAATGTGCCATGATCAATCCAAGCAAGCAAATACTTGATATGAGAAATTCTATTTTTAGACTAAAGCCATGTAGTTCCAGTTAGTTAGATGCCAAAAGAGAAACATAATTTTAGGTTTCAGAAAGCAGTAACTACTCATGCTAACCATGAGCAAACTAGATGTTTCTGTCTTCCCATTTTCCCATTCAGTATCAATGAAGAACCTCCTCTGAAATCTTTTCATTAAAAGGCATGAGAGCAGTCGCAGGAAACTAGCAGATCACAATTAGCAAAACCTAAATACTTCAGAGAAAGCAGGAGCTGTCATCAAACCTGGCAACGACTCTTCATGTGATGCCCCTTCCTCCCTTCTCTGTCACACTACTTTGCAATTTTACACAGACATAGAAAGTGCCTGCCAACTTAAGGGAACTTAAGTAATCTCGTAGACATATAGTATGAATAAATTTGAATACAGTGTTCAGACAACACAATCTAGGTCATCAAGGCCTATCTGGAAATTCTGGTTCTGCGCGTAAAATATAATAAAATACATAGCCCATACTATAAAACACGTAGAGTAACCTGAAATTCTGACACATGTACTTCAAAGTTGTCATGCCAACAAGCTGACAATCAAGGTTTGGCATATTGAGGAGGCCTTCTACCCCTTCAAGTAAGTATGTAACTAAAGGTAAGCAGCATTATTTTCTGTCTGCAGTTGAATGAGAAAGAAAATAGCAGAAACCAGAAGAAGCGGGGAAAAAAAGCCCTCCAAGAAAGAAAAAGCATGAAGCTTTCCTAAAACAACTTCTGCAAGAGAGAGAAATCCAGAACCCTGTTCAACAAGGAGGTTCAAATTACAGAGTTGTTCTGGAGTATTTTTTTTGTGATACAGTGCAGCTCTTGCCTAACAACTACAATGAAGAGAAACTAGAAAAAAACATCACTTTAAGCAGTGTCTTCAAACTAAGCATGGCCAAGGTAGGTTCCCAGCTTAGGACTCAGTAACACTGCACAGGACAAGTCCTCTTCAGCCTGGAGAAGGCAAGGCTCTAGGGAGACCTTATAGTGGACTTCCAGTACCTCAGGAGGCCTCCAGGAAAACTGGGGAGGTACTATTTATAGGGTATGCAGTAACAGAGTGAGGGAAATGGCTTTAAACTGGAAGAGGGTAGATTTAGACTAGATATTAGGAAGAAATTCTTTGTTGTGAAAGTGGTGAAACACTGGAACAGGTTATCCTGTTGTGATGCTGTGGATGCCCCCTTCCTGGAGGTGCTCAAGGCCAGGATGGGGCCTTGAGCAAACTGATCTAGAGGGAGGTGTCCCTGCCTATAGCAGGAGGGTTAGAACTAGGTGACCTTAAAGGTGCCTTCAAACCCAAACCTTTCTGTGATTCTATGAAGTCACAGGGCCAGTAAATGATGCAAAGGAAGCTGTTTCTGCTTTGGGTATCCATACGCAATAAATTTGCTATATATTGCTTTTGCACAGGAAAAGAATCAGCTACTTTTGTTGCTGAAGACATGTTCTAGAACAATGACACCTTTTTGTCTCCTGGTGCCAGGAAGTAAAGAACAGAGCTCATAGCCATTGGTGCCAGTCCAAACTACTGCTGGCAGCAACCCATGTGCCTGGAGTTCTGTTCCCCTAGAAACATCCCTGCATGGTGCACAAAGCGAAGTAAAAACATAGTGGTGAGCCCAAATAACAAAATATACTAAATCTTATGAGAATAAAAACTAAACTGACAGACTCCAATGAATGAACCAGACAAAAATCTATGCTTTCAGCAACTCCTTGTGCAGGAGTACAGTTGTAGTGTGACAGATCAGCTTCTAAAAGGCTTAATTATTTCAGCCATGTCACACTGACATGCAGTACTGTGTATTATAAAGTGCCCATGAGATAAAAATGAGGCACAGAAGAAGTTTGGTGAGATTTTTTAAGCAGCTGGAAAAAGAAAAAAAATAAAAATAAAAAAATCAGACCAACCAGACTCAAACAATAAAGAGCTGATGAGGTGGGAAAGCATTGGAGAGGTCAGCTCACCCTGAGCACAGCGGACAGAACAGAGGGTAAAGAAACAATTCCCAGCAGCGTGCCAGGTCAGGAGAGCAAGAACCGAGCTCAGCACACATTGTAACACAGCATTTTAGAAAGCAGGGCAGAACCCAGCCTCTCCCTCAGCACCCTGCGCGCTTCAAAAAAATGCAGCAAAGCAGGTAAGCCCGATGAGGGAAAACGAGATAAATCCACGGCATTATGTGGGTCAGCCGATCAGAAAGAAAAATACTGTAGAGTATCACACGCACACACACATCTGCAGACATTACGTGAAAAACAAAATTACGAGGGAGGTGAGAACTGGAAAAAACAATTCCTATTATTCCAGCTGCAGTATGGACGACGAAATACAGAAACCTGAACTCCTGAGAGCGCTACGCCCGTTCCCAGCGCTTCCAGAACGGCTGCTTTCCCTGACAACACCCCGAGCCGCCCAGCCAGCCCCACGAAAGCGACTCGAGCCAGCAGAAGCCTCCGGGGCCGGTTCCTGCAGCGGGATGCCCCGAGCACACCGCCCTCCCCGCCCGCCCGCCTGCCTGCCTGCCTGCCTCACCTTGAAGGGGTTGTTGAGGTCCGGGTCGGCGAAGGGGTTGCTGTCGAAGTCCGACATGGCGGGGGCTGCGATCTCCGGGTGGCGGCGGTGGTAGCAGCGGCTCCCGCCCTGCGGCGCCCCACACTCGCCGGCTCGCGAGATGCCCCCCGCCCTGACACCAGCTGCTGCTGTGGCCCGAGCCCGCCCCCTCCGCACCTACCAGCCGCCGAGCGCCGGCCTCCCAAAATGGCCGCCCCGGAAATGGCGTCGCCGGGCGGGACGGCGCTGTTAGCAGGGGCAGCGGCCGGCCCGGAGCGGCGGGGAGGTAGTGCGGCTGGGAGAGCCCATGCGCGGCGCGGGGGAGGTTGGAGGCCGGCCGAGGCACCCCCGAGAAGCTCTTCTAATGTGTCCACCGGCACAAATCCTGATTTTTTCTCTATGCTTTCTAAAGAAATTATTTAAGTTTTCGTTAAAATGCAAAAAGAGAGGGTTGAATCTGAGGCCTGAAGTCTGTCTGAAAGGAGCTGTTGCAGAGTAAAATTGGCTTTCTCAGTGTTAATTGTTATTTTTTTCTCCATATAACAACCACAGGCAAACTTTGGGTATTGTTATTTCGGGTTTGTTGAAGGCTGACTCAGAACATTAACACATAGAGTCACAGAGTCATAAAGGTTGGGGAAGACACTAAGATCAGATAGTCCAACCACCACCGTCATGCCCGCTGAACACGATCCTTATACATGTTCATACAAGGGCAGGGCCACAACATCAGAGGCACACATGGTGCGACTGCAGTAGAGGCTGAACTTTCCCACCAGCATCCCACTCTGTGTTGTTGCCGTGTGACAGATGCAGCAGAGGGGCACTCTGACAGAATGGCAACTGACACAGAAGTGCGTATGAAACAAAGGTATGTCACTGAATTCTTCTGTGAGGAAAACATGGCACCCACTGACATTCATCAACATTTGCTAAACGTTTACAGAGACAAAACTGTGAATATGAGTGCATTGAAGCAGTGGTTGGTGTGTCTCAGCGGTGGTGGTATTGACAGCAGGTCACCTTTGCTGCTGCAGATTTCTGCCAGCACAGCACACAGGCTCTTGTTCATCGCCGGCAAAAACACATTCCTGATGGTCGTGACTGTGTTGAAAAAGAAAGTTTTCTAGCTGAGAATGTGCTCTCTCACATAGTGCTGTTGTGCTCTTTGTATCTGTTGTATTTCCCCTGTAAATCAACAGGAGGCATTGTTTTTAGATGGACTTACATATTTTAGTGGTTCTACTTTTGTTGTTACTCCCATCCTGAAATGGCATTCACCGCAATGGTGTTGTTCATCAGCAAGTCAAGAAAAGTCCTGTGCGTACAGGAGGATTGACTTTGCATGCATCGGTAAAGAAAGCAATAATTACCACAAGGCTTCCTGTAATTTATGCAGAAGTTTCTCAATTATTTGTGAAGGACTGTCAGATATATGATGATATGCAAATGGCACAAATCATGAAAGCATAGCTTCTGAGGAATAAAGCACTTTCAACTTTTTTATTGCTATGAAGTGTAAAATAGTTCATGCTTCAAAAAACACAAAGGCAGCTGTTGTACAGTGAACAAAATTGCACTACAGTATTAGTCACAGTCATCCATATAGCTCACTTACTGTGACAGCAAACTAAATCATGTTGTTTTCCAATATTGTCCCACAGCTCAATATATCATAGCTCAATGATACATGCTGATTATTCAAAAACTTCATGCACTGAAAACAGTGTATTTGTTCTTTTTTCATCTGAATGTGTATGAATGCATTGTTTGTTATTTGCATGAATCGGTGAATGTTTTTCTGAAAAGAGCATCTTTTCTGATATGGATACTGATGCCTCAAATTATGGACATAGCAATGTTTCTCTAATAATAATTTGTGCACATTTAAGGGGGAATAATCTGTCATTTCATCTGGCTTTCAAGGCAGTAATGAAGCTGTGTTAAGATATTTTTTGAAAGGATATTAATTATTCTGATCTGTCAAATGATAGAACTTTGATAGCGCATCATTGCTTGCTGCTTGAAGTGTTGACTGGAAGATACTGACTAACTGCTAGCTAATAGAAAATGTGAATGAATATCTGCTTCCAACTAATGACTTAGTTAATACTCCACATACACAACATGGGCAATATAAATGGTTATCATATTATGCAGAGGGTTATGTAATAGATTTTCTCAATTATTTTCTTTGTCTTCCGAAGGACTTATTGAATTAGAAAACATACATGATTAGCCAAGGATGTCCCTGTTCCGCAAGATCACTTTACGTCTTGTTTTCCAAGCATAGAATTTGTGAGAGTGTGTGTTTTAGGTAAGAATTACTTGCAATAAACATTTTTTAATTCTGATACGTGTATAATTCGTGGATGCATTAGTCTGATTTTGAATGTACTGATCTGTTGTATGGAAAATGCTGAATCACAGCCTGAACCTCTGATTGACCACCTGAGACAAGCAGTGAGTCAGCCCTGGGAGCACAGGTGAAGACAGTTCTCCTGCACTATTGGAAGGGGTGAAGCCTGGCTCCACCTCTCCTAGACCTCATTTAAGAGCTGACTACTACTGGGGAAGGATCTCTTTTGGAAATTGCTCCTCTTGGAGTCTTCTCAGTGAGTCCAGGACAAGTGTGAGCTTTCTATCCATTCTTCTTTCCATCCATTCTTCTTTACCATGATAACTTGCTTAGCTTAACTTTCTTGCATATTTCTTACTTATAAAATCTGTATATTCATTGATTACACATATGTAAATTCATTAAAAAATAAGTAAAGTAGGGAATGGATGGTTCTGATTAAAAATATCTCTTGTCTTAAAAATTCCCCAATCTCATGCAATTGGTTTCATTCAGTAGTTTTCAGTAACTCTAACATGATTTCCTTTTAGCGAACAGAATTATGTTCTGATTTGGCTTTTTTTCTCAGAAAAAAAAAGTAGTCCAGACTTCACCAAGCAATAAACTTGAACTGTTTATGTGAATATTGTACTTGTATACCCATGTTTAAGACATTTTGGTAAAGATCTGACCTGAGAGTATTCCTTCAGCTCTTCGTTTTCTCAATTTTCTAGCGCTTGTGTGGGATTCACTGTATGTCAACCTCAGATGGTGAGGAAAAATGCTGAGGTCAGATTTGTTTTCAATTGTTTTTTTGCAGTCTGTGATGCCTGCATGCTGAATAGGTAATCAAGTGATCTGTCATTATATATCTCTCTCTCCAGATGAAGTAGATCACATGTTTACAGAGGATGGATCTTGGAAATGTAAAGCCAAACTGTAACAAGTATGCCTCAATAACCACTCTGAAGAGGAATGTTTCTCTTCATAGAATAGCAAAGTTCGTACAGCACCATAGGCAAGCTTAATTGTTAGAAAAAAAGCAGGGATAAGGAATGTTATCACACCACACAAGCACTCTGTGGAGGTTCTTATGTGGAGTGTAGGCAAAATGACTGGCGTGGAAGATCAACTGCTAGGAACTCATATAGAAACAAGCAAGAGGACTCCATGGCAGCCTCACTGCAAGGTACAGCTTGAGATTAGAACATACGCAGATCCCACTTTTAACTTCTTGCTGGAAGTTTTGGCAGAAGACACCGAGTTTGTTAGGTAAAACTTCAACTAGAGAGTTACTTGCTAACAGCTCTTGAAAGAATTTAAAATTGCTGGGATGCTGTATAATCAATGGATATCAAGATGTTACAAGCACAAAATAAACAAGAGTTAGGCAAAGTGGACTATGATAACAAGAGAGAATAAATGGAAGGCTTACCCTTATGCTGGGCTCACCACAAAACACCAGAAGAGGCAATCTCCAGAAGAGATCCTTCCCCACTGGTAGCCAGCTCTTAAATAGGTCTAGGAGAGGTGAAGCCTGGCTCCACCCATTCCGGCAGCACAGATGAATTGCCTTCACCTGTGCTCCTGTGGCTGAATCATTGCTTGCCTCAGGTGATCAATCAGAGGTTTAGGCTGTGACTCAGCAGTTCCCATACAGATGCACAAGCTTCACTTTTTCTACATTGTACAGCACAGTGATTTTCTTACAGAATGTTGAAAGGATTTTAATTTCAGAAAGAGAAAAGAGAAGTATGACACACGAGTACTTCAGAATAACAGTTGAAGGTCATGAGCTGCAGTATTCCCCAAAAACAGCTTTCTTCACTTAAAAGAAAAAAATAGTCTGAAGAATAGTTACTTAGAGGGGCTGATTTTACTTTTGTCTGGGTGCATCAAAGGCATGCTGTAAAATAACAAGATTGGGTCATTCTTGGCTTATTCAGTGAATCCTTCCTGCTGATCTGGAACGACACTGCTCAATGTCATGTTCTTCAACGTGTGTGTGAAACATGTCCCCAGTGGAGCCATCAGTCTGTGCTGTTCTTCCTGTTCCCCATAGTCCAATTCATCTGTGTCTGTTTGGGAACTGTACAAAGGCTTGTTGTCACCAGCAAACAATTTTTCCTATTTTCTTTTCCCATGGAGCAAATTGCTGATCCTCATCCAAGGAGCAGAGCCCTTACTTCTTCCATGCCTGTGTTTTAGGAATTTGCAAGCAGAGCACGACTATCCCCAGCACAAAGTATATGTGAGGTTCCCAGATGGAACCTCTGTGCCTGCTTTCCACAGGCAACATGGAAGACGTGAGTGTGGGCCCTGGGGTGACTGTATGCCATGAGCATGCTTGCAGAGTGCAGCAGTCACTAGCACTGGCCAAGACAGCAGGGTGTATCATGGAAGCAGGGTTACTCCTTCTGGAAAAATATGCTTATCTCTCTAGCAGAGGGTAAAGTAAGAGCAATTCAATAGTGATGTGAAGAGCTATGGCGCCCATTGCTGAAGACACACACTGGAGCAAACGGTGCCTTTAAGAGGATGGCTGAAAAACTAGGAGCCAGAGTGTGGGAGCAATGAATAGTAAACTACAGTCATGAGTGATACATGAGTGAAGATATGGCAAATCAAACGCATGCTGTCTGGTAGTGCTCTAGGCAGCTGTGGAGTGAAGCCAAGTGTTGCTGGCAGTCTGTGCTGCACTCTTGTGTACCGGCACCAGTGCGTGAGGAGTAAGAAAGCCAAGGCAGGTGAGAGCAGAGCTGGATCAGCAGTGGAGCAGACCT